CCTCCTAATGACCTCCAATCCAAATATTATGGTGAAAATTGAGAGTTACATACATTTCCGTCATTGGAATAATAAGATGATATCGGAATTGGAGTTTCTGTGGTTTCAATGAAACTGGGAACCCTAAGGTAATATTTTGCATTAAATTAAATTATCTACGTACCAGTAGCTAACACGTATAATTTTCACTTGTAGGTTCTTGTGCGATACAATACAATACTTCCTTCCTACATTGGTCCGATGAATCAATTTGCAAACAAAAATAAGAACTAACTAATACTATAGTAATTCGTTACCGGTATTACTATAGTACTAGTATAGTAGTCCGGTACAGTATACGGTAATGTGTTGTTTTTAAACTCATTTTCACTCCGCTGACACATGGCCAAAGCTTTTACGAGCTTAGACAATATTGTCAAGAGGAGCAAAATCTGTTAATATTTGATTCAAAATATATTTTGTCATAATAAGCAGACGCAATGTCTCGAGACCCTTTACCACAGCGATGGTAAGCAATTAATTATGTCGCAAGTTTATTAGAGATGTCAAAATTATTTCTATCACTACAAACCGACAAAAGGAATTGAATTGGTTTCGGGAGTTAGGTTTCATTTCGAATAATTACTATTAATGATTATTTCCGTCGACGTCGACGGGGATTGTTGCTTTCATTGACGAAATACTATCGTTCAGTGCCGGCATAGAGTTTAAAACGCCCTCAGAATGCCGCAGGCGTCGTTTATAGATCACCAAACAGTTCTTCTGATAACGACAAAGTACTTAACAGTCTTTTACCGAGCATGACATTCCGTAGGTCACACACGTTGATTGTTGGTGATTTTAATCATCCACAGCTAGACTGGACAGATGGATCCTCTCCAATGGAAAAGAATCACCCAGCATCCTTGTTCATGGAGTCAGTAAGAGATCCCTTCCTAGTCCAGCACGTTACCAAACCAACCCATTATAGAAGTAAACAGACTCACAATATTCTAGATCTGTTTACTAGTGATGAATCAATGTTAGATGAGCTTCGTCACGAGGCTCTGTTGGGCAAAATCCTTCACCAATCATAGTTTTTCAAATTTAAGTGTTGTACAGAAAAGACTCGTCGGAAGCGTGAGCGTTTGAATTTTGCGAAAGGCGACTATGATAAACTCCGTTAAGCAGTGAATATTTCGAACTGTATTATGGACATGAATGTGGCTGATTCATGGTCATTTCTCAAGGACACGGTTATGTCTGCAGTTGATGCGTGTGTAAATAAAATTAAGCTTGGTGGAGCCGAAAAACACGGTGGATGAACAGTACAGTTTTAGCTAAGCTCAAAACGAAGAAGGAAGCCTACCAGCGTTATTTACAGACTCGTAGCGATGCTGACTATATCCTATACGCAAGAGCTCGATATCAAGCTAAAGAAAGCTGTCGCACCGCAGTAAAATCCCTCGAAAAAAAGTATTGCTAAAAATGTAAAAAGAACCCGAAAGCCTTCTTTTTGTACGCTAGCTCGAAGTGCAAGATGAAGGGCGGTATTTCTGATTTGAAAGTAGATCAACGAAAGATATCCACTGATGAGGGCAAGGCTAACGTACTTAATCATTTTTTCAGTAGCGTATTCACTGAAGAGGACTTAAACAGTATTCCAGCTATTGAGGAGCGCCCAGTCGGCTCTAAATCCAAACAAGTCATGTGGAGCGGACGGCTTCCACCCCAGATTACTGAGTTAGCAACTGTCCTAGCCGGCCCTCTGACGTAATTTTTTCGAAAAACTTTGAACGAAGGGATCTTGCCGGCTGACTGGAAAGAAGCTCAAGTGACACCATTGTTCAAAAAAGGTGACAAAAGATGACCTGTCTCTTATACACATCTAGATGTGTATAAGAGACAGGTGTGGAGGCACCGGTAGATGGCCTGCTAAACGCATACGGTCAACTGCGAAGAGAAGGGGCTATGAATTAGCCGTTGAACATTGTGGTAGCCATGAGCAATGTAGTTTCGATTCGTTAGGTCAAAACTCGTCTAAGGTACGAAAATGCGAGAACGAACGCGGAATTTAAATAGTAAAATTTAATTCAAAAATCAAGTTCGAAGGTGCCAACTATTCTTCTAATTTTTATGACAGAATATGAAACAAAATCTCTTTATATTTGTTTGGATCTAATTATATTCAAGATACATTGATGATCTGACATGGGTTTATTAAAATTAAACTGCGACTTGATTGGAATGACAGGACGCAGAACGAAATTAAAATAAATGTCCTCATATAATTCCCACCTATTTGTTAGTGTAGGAATTCAACCCATTTGTGATTGCTCACGGACGGTAATATTATGCGTATACGTATGTTAATACATTCATGTTATGGTACACTCCCCTTATTTTTGCAATTAAACGTTTTTCAAGTGCATAATTATCTGTTAGCAGGTACTTCCTTTTTTATTCAATCAATGAGGTGGCCGTATGAAGGCCACTTCCAAATGCCCTGATAGTGCGCCTGCATGTAGCCTGCCATCACTGCATAGAGTGACATGTAGGCAGCGCGCTATGCACTCACAGCCTCAGCTGTCAAGACTACGCCGGGCCTATGCGTCGACGCAACCCCAACCAGTGGCCCTAATTAGGCGCCAAACGATCTTTTAATTCCATCACAACCGTGGTACTGATGCGGCATCGACTCGACAGTGGATAGGATACGGATATATTACGAATACGGCACTCAACAGCCCTTTCTAGAAGCAACAGTCCTAGGTAATACTAGCACTTACTTTTTAACCGAGTAGAAAGCTCCAGCTGCTATATATTGAAAATGGTTTTAACATTGCTTGTTCCCATTTGTTAAATGTTAAAATGGTTGTAACATTAATTGTTCCCCCCAATAATTTCCCCCCTCAGCTTACTTATTTGTAGCATGTTCGATTGTTTTGTTCAGTGCCATTCAATAGGCTCTAAAATAATTTTCATATTGATGTTTTGATTTTCATATTTTATCAATATTGTGATTATTGTCCACTAGTTGTCAGTAATATACGTCTCATAGAAGCTAACTATAATTTGAACGAGCTGTGTCTCGAGCTGAAATAATTCAAACATAAAATTTTAGGTCAAAATTTAAATAATTCAAAGATTATACTCTTTGATACAAATAAAATTGGGACTGATGCGCCGCCTGATCGGTTATCAAAATAATAATAATCTCCGATGATAACGGTGGACGACTAATCAATATCAGTAATTGCTATTATTGCCACAGATTTCGTGGGTCTCGACGCGGATGACCCGAGATTGATCGATTACATCCGTCAACACGTCATCGTGCCTCCCTCTACCGAAAGAAGCAACAGTCCTAGGTAATACTAGCACTTACTTTTTAACCGAGTAGAAAGCTCCAGCTGCTATATATTGAAAATGGTTTTAACATTGCTTGTTCCCATTTGTTAAATGTTAAAATGGTTGTAACATTAATTGTTCCCCCCAATAATTTCCCCCCTCAGCTTACTTATTTGTAGCATGTTCGATTGTTTTGTTCAGTGCCATTCAATAGGCTCTAAAATAATTTTCATATTGATGTTTTGATTTTCATATTTTATCAATATTGTGATTATTGTCCACTAGTTGTCAGTAATATACGTCTCATAGAAGCTAACTATAATTTGAACGAGCTGTGTCTCGAGCTGAAATAATTCAAACATAAAATTTTAGGTCAAAATTTAAATAATTCAAAGATTATACTCTTTGATACAAATAAAACTTGTGACTGATGCGCCGCCTGATCGGCTATCAAAATAATAATAATCTCCGATGATAACGATGGACGACTAATCAATGTCAGTAATTGCTTTTATTGCCACAGATTTCGTGGGTCTCGACGCGGATGACCCGAGATTGATCGATTCCATCCGCCAACACGTCATCGTGCCTCCCTCTACCGAACCCTACAATTTGTATTATGGGATCAACCATGACCCTTCAGACGGCCAGGCGAAAGTTGTTGACGAACTACTAAATCGAAAGGTAGTTTACATCTTACTGTTATTTGAAATATACTGTCACGGTTACAGTTGGAAATTCGACCTCATTTGAGATTTCTGTGAAAAAATTAATTATCTAAACAATGATATTCAGGCGAAGCAATTTTATACGAATAGATGTTCACAAATGAACTATTTCATACACGAAACTGTCTTAATTTCCTAATGAAACTGTTGAAAACTCGGGAATTTCTTACATGAAACTGTTTGTTTTGCCAGAAACATTCAAGCCTTCTGAACAATAATCTAGTAATTTTTTAACAGCGGAATGGCGTTTACGTCGAGAGTGGAGGTTACACGGGCGAAGTGGTGAGCAACACTTTATTTTTTGAAATTAATCGAAATTGGACCGGGATCCTGATTGAGCCTAACCCGAGGAACTTTGAAAAGTTATTGTCTAGGAAGCGAAAAGTGCACTCAGCTAAAGCGTGCATCGGAGAAACCAAATCAGCTGGCCAGGTGAGAGAAATTAACAAAGAAAAAGAGGAAACACTCAATAAAATAAGCCCTACCAAATAATTCAACATTTTAAATTTGTCAAAATACGAAATAGAAGATCCAAATAATAATAGAAGGGCATCGTTATGGGCTATCAAAAGTATCAAGCCCGCATGAAGCCAAGTGTTACAGAGCGCAGGACACCGACTACCATATAAGAAAGATCAACTCAATTCTCAAACACATATTGTACCGCACTGTTTTTTTAGGCCTTTTGCCCTTTCGCGAAAAATTATACGGCGTAGGGGCACACTGAAGAATCTTGGAAACATTTCAAGGGAGCGTGCTAGTTTTTGGGGAGCCACATCCCAACTGAATTATGACAGGAAACATCCATGTTGAATAAAAAACATAATTACTTATATGTTTATTAGACCTCATTGAAAAGAAATTGCCATAGCACAGGGAAATACTAATTTACGTTCAATTTTCATTAATTCTAACTTAATATTTTCAGGTTGTATTTTCTAACAAAAAATATATGGGCCAGATATTTAATCCTCAAGATCCAAACTACCCAGGAGAGTCATTGGACCTGAGCAGCGCAAATTGTTTCCCGCTGTACTCTTTTCTGCTTGCACTCGGCACCACCACCGTCGACTACTTCAGCCTCGACGTCGAGAGTTCCGAGTACAAGGTCCTGCAGTCCATTCCTTGGGACAAGATTGATATTAAGGTGAATATTTCGTAGTTGCTCATAATGTTTTCTCAAAATTTCCAGTTGGATTGATCGATTACATTCAAATGCAGGAGATTTAATCGTTATCCAACTTTGCCACAAAAGTTCGCTGATTTTAGACCTACAGTTTAGACGAGTTGAAATTCAGACGTTGTACCAATTCTTCCGGCGACAACATTCCTTTATATTTATCTCATGCAGACGTTATCCGTGGAGTACAACCTCATCCCAGAAGGAATGCCTGCACTGATTGACTTCATGAAGTCTAAAGGGTACATCTACTACATGAAATTCATCCGGCCTTATACACACGACCTTATATTCGTCAAACAGGAAGTGTTGGATCATACAAGAGTCCAATACGGAGAACTGCCCATTCTGGATGTTAATAACACCGCCAGTTGGATGACTCGTTCGAATTTGGAGTCATGAAGAGATTATGCAAGAATTACTTTCAACCAAGGAATGGAGGCGAAACAACTGACAGTCGCTTCTTGATTAGCACATACGCTTGGTTCATGATGAACAGCAGAAATTTGATCAGGTCACGTACGAAGAAGTATTTTAGAATTAACAAACGTTGATTAGTAGGTTTTAAGCGGTACTTCGTGAATATTATCTTGAAAAGAGTTGGGTTTTGATTCGAGTCCGCAGGCCAGTCCGCAGCCGAGTCCGCTGAAGTGTCCGACCGAAATTAACGTTATGATCTAATGATCAACTTGGGGGTAAAATCCATATTGATAACTTGTGAATATAGATTTCCAAACACAAAATGGTACAATCTGACTTTGGAGCCTTCAATTAATGGCACAGTGAAGTTTTACAAAAATTAAGTTGTTCATTTAGTGAGGCATGATTTCGGTTTTGGAAATAGGAAAACCAATACACTCCCCCTTACATCAATAATATTTCATGAATCAATAATAATTTATCAGAATTTCGTCAAAAAATTTGCCGGCCTCTTCGTTCAATAAGAGGCCTCTTTCTCCAATCTTCTGCTTGATGTAATTGTTTTTGTGGTTGTTGGCGGGATAAAGGACGGGCTGACCTTCTACAGCTAAAGCCAATATTATTCCTAAATATGAATAAATATATTTGTTCATTAATTTTTTCCACAAATTAATTCTATATGATATTTTACTTTTTAATCTTCATTCAAAAATAAAGCACTTTCACTATAGATGCATTGTATAGAACTTCAGAATGCCATCATCATTTGGTATTGTCTTAATGATACCGGCTAAATAGAAGTTTTACGTTCACAAAAGAAAAGGGCTAAAAAAACTTTCTCATACCATTTTATTACCTGCTTACGCGTTGCGCAAGAGTTTATCAAGGAAGACAGCCTTGCTGTTGCTCGGGATGTGCTCCCCAACTTCGCTGTTGCTCGGGAATGTCGGCTTCTTTAGAATATCGCGAAAATCCTATTTAATTTCAGTGATGTATTGTTTTTGTTCTTCTAAGTTCAGCTGATCTTTACTTTAGATTTTTCGCAGGAAGGACATGCCGTATTTTTGACGCTTCCGATCCTAAATCATCTATCATCTAGCTATGTTATGTTACCGAGATTTGAAAAGTACAAAAATTTAATAGAGAATGTTCAAAGAGTGAAACAAAGATAATTCCAGGCTTGAAGGGCAAGTCCTATGAAGAAAGATAAAAGATTATGAAGCTTCCAAGCCTCAGTTATCGACGTCTGCGTGGGCACCTCATTGAAGCATACAAGTATACTCATGGTTTATGCAGGATCTCCGAAGGATTATTAGAGTGTGAAACAAGAACCAACACCAGGGGCCACGGCTATAAACTAAAAAATCTGCGCTGCAACTTATCCACGCGACATTTCTTCTCGCTTCGAATCACCGACATGTGGAACAGCCTCCCCGATTACGTCCCTCCCCGATTCCGTGGTTGGCGCTCCGAGTCTGAACGCGTTCATGAAGAGACTAGATAAAGCTATGGAAAAAGATATGTTCAGACTTGAAATGCCTAGCACCATATCGAACCAGGTGGAAGTCTAGTAGCTATATCAAACTATCGTCAGTCCTGAAAAGATCAGCCGGTCAAATGACACGATTGTAGATCTTCTATGAACAAGGCACGAAAAGTAAGAATCGGCGATATGCCACATCAGGCCTACTCTAGCACCGACATCGCTATGTAATGTTATGTTATATCGACCTATCTCCAAACTGTCGATTTTATCGAAACTCCTGGAACGCGTTGTGGCCCGACACTATCTTCAGCAGTCCAGTCTCGTGCCTCGCCTCCAGTCTGCATATACCGTCATCTCAACTAGACAGAAACCGTTGTGCTGAAGGTGCTTCTAGACATTCTGCGAACAGTAGACCGCAGCGACATTGCGGCACTAGCTTTACCTGACCTATCGGCTGCGTTTGACTCGGTCGACCACGCCACTTTATTGAGTCGACTTGATGTGTCATTCGGCCTGCGCAGCACAGTGCTGCTGTGGTTCGAGTCCTATCTCAGCAATAGATTCCAGTGCGTTCGACGCGTGAACTCTCTTCTACGCCATCGTGGTCACTTGCGGCATATCACAGGCACTAGTTCTCGGCCCCATTCTCTTCCTGTTATATACTGTTGACGTATTGCATATAATTGATTCACATAGTTTGAATCTGCATATGTTCCCCGACGACACCCAAATTTATGACTACTGTGCACCGGCTGACGCCGCAGCGTTGCAGGATGTCAGTCAGACTGGATGCGCTTCAACCGCCTCCAGCTCAATGCATCAAAAACCGATTTTATTTAGTTTGCGACTGCTCGGCACCAGCATCAGCTTCAGGCCAACTCTGTACGCGTAGGCAAAGAGTTCGTCATGCCTGCATCCGCATTTCGCCACCTGGGCATTCTGCTGTACTCTGAACTTTCAATGAACTTTCACATTGCCACACTGAAACAAATCGGCGCGTAGAAACTACGCACCAAAGTGACTATCCCGGCTTGTCCCAAAACGAGTTGCCGAAGGCGTCTAAAACACCCCTCAGCCAGCCGGAGCGCGTAATTAAAAGCTACTCTTAGCGCTCNGACATATTCAACTAGTTATATTATCACTATTATTAAGTTGATTTAAGCTATTATCAATTTTTGTTAACTATTAAATTCGAACTTGCATGTAAATTTTCGGCTTTCATTATTGGTCCTGCCATGATGTCATCAGCCTATAGCAGCAGTGGCTGTCTGTGGCTGAGCGAAAATTAGAGAAAACGGCGAACGAACTGTTGATAAAACAGCGAACGAAGTTTCGGAATGATTCGTTTTGCTACATTAAGCGTTTAGCTAGTGGAGATGTCTGCAACTAACGCACCGATTTGTTTCAGTGCAAATTCCTCACCGGTTGCTTTGCACTGTTAGGAAAAACGGGCGAAAAATGTGAAACACACGTTATTTTTCGACACTTATTAACCGTAATCTGGTTATTCGGTTATTTCCCGTGGTTTGTTGGACTTCAGCGGTAGATGGCGCCACGGTCATCAGTCGAGTTAATACCTAGACGCCATCTTGAGTGGAAGGGGAGCGTCTAGGGACAACTTTATCTCGGTTATACAGACTGATTGATTCGAAATTTGGTACACGTATGTAAAACGGAGTTCTAAGACTTTTTTTCGTGCGAATTTTCGAAAACAATGAAAGAAAACGTGAAATTCTTAGAATACGGTCAAAAAGGGGGTACTTTAGAAATCCTATATCCTCCTAGGATTTTCAAGCTACAACATCGAGACACATATGATTCAATGCGTAAAGACCATATCTAAAAAGTCACTTGGCGGTTTTTTAGATTTCTCATTTTTGTGGGTGTAGGAGCATTTTTTCCGATATTCTGAGAAATTTTTCGATTTTACCCCCACCCTCCCCTTGTGTCGCACCCGCTTGTGCCTGGTGACTTTGGAGAAGAGACTCTCGTGTCGCCCATGGTCCCCAGTCCTTGTCAGGAGAGAATGCCATAAGAGAGTCTTGGGTGTGAATGGACAGTTGGCATGGTCCTTGGTCTGCTCCGAAGCTGTTTACTCAGCCTAGGATCTGTCTCTTATACACATCTAGATGTGTATAAGAGACAGGTCCTCTCGTGCTGAGGCGTGTGGCATGAAAGTAACACCCTTGCTCTCCTCGGCCTGATGGAATCTANTAGCCTATATTATTCTTATCATAATATTATGCCAAAATTACTAATATTAGTAACAATAAAGGTTCAGTTGATAATAATTTACATTAATATCTTCTATTAATTGTTCAGAGCTTTGACTTTTGACGTACCATCAATTGGCCCACCAGCCCTATCCCAATTTGGAATATTGGACAGAAGTTTCCAAAAATTGCAGATGAAATCAATTGGTACAAGCGTGATTTTAAAAAGCCGCTAGAAAAGTGCCGTTTTTCCTATTTCCCACCAAAAAAATAGGAAAATGCGATAGGGATGGGTAAAATTGACCAGATTCACAGGCGTTATTGTCTAATTCACAGGTGCCTTCTGCCCAATTTTCCAGTTAGTGCCCTACCTGAGACATAGAGGGAGAGAGGCTACAGCAGTTAAATATAGAAGTGTTGAATGAATATGAAAATACATTCATGTATTTTCATATTAATAATAACAAATTACTTATTTAATATTCGACTAGTCTTTTTATAAAGCAATACCTTATTTATTCACTAAATAAAGCAACACTTTATTCAGTCACAAATAGCTCAGTCAGTGCTTTTTTAATGACTGAAAAATGTATTGCTTTGTATAGTGACTAAATAAGTTACTGCTTTATTAAAAGACTAGTTGATAATTGAAAAATTAATTTTTTATTATTAATGAAGAAATACATTCAACACTTCTATATATGACTGTTGTAGCCTCTCTCCTTCAATGTCTCAGGTAGGGCTGGTGGGCCAATTGAAAATGCGTCAAAACTCAAAGTTCCGAAAAATTAAGAGATGGTATTTATCTAAATTATTCCCAAATAAATCATCATTGTTAAAAATAATACCAATTTGGCATGATACAACTAATAGGGTAACAATGCTTAATGCTGCACAAAATGGAAGTTATGCCGTGCTTTTCTATGCACGTTTTAGGCTTATCTGATTAGTTATTAACTACCTGAGGTAGGTTCGGGTACCGTGAACAAATGAGGATAAAAGAGGCGCGAGTTAAGTACAGGTTAGATACTTAAACTTATTGAGAATATATCGGCTTACAGTTTATAGGTTTCGAGTGCTAAAGGAGTAGAACGTTAACGCGTTCGTCTAGGGTTCGTACTCTAGTTGACTTTACTATCCTTTAACTTGGATAGGAGTAGGGCTTACACACGACTGTTCTCAGCCCGAGAGAACAGTTCTCCGCTTCTGTGCAGAGCTCAAATAGCTTCGCCATTTGACGTCACAAAGGGCGTGACTTGATAAACAGGGAAGGCTGATACAAGGAAATGTTTATGAACATATCGCAGTGAAGTAGATTATAAATTTTTCAACAGGGAAGATATTAATGAGGAAATATCCAGGTGATTGATATATAAAAAAAAGGAGTTTTCTATCATTTCATATATTTTAAAGTTGGACGCTCGGATTGATTACTCCACCAATTTTA